AGATGGAATCCTTCGATCGGGAAAACGCCTTTGGTACTCTTCAACAGCAGCACGTGCATTGCCACCGCGAAATCCGTACACAAAATGCATATCACAATATTCAACATGTGAAAACACAAAAGGCATTTCAGCAACACCGCACAACTACNCACCAGGAAGAGAACCAGTATCACGCAATGTCTGGTGAATTCGCGTAAATACACTTCAAGATGGAATCCTTTGATTGGGAAAACGCCTTTGGCACTCTTCAACAGCAGCACGTGCATTGCCACCGCGAAATCCGTACACAAAATGCATATCACAATATTCAACATGTGAAAACACAAAAGGCATTTCAGCAACACTGCACAACTACACGTAAGTTACCAACCATTCACGACGCTGCCGCAATGTACTCTGTAGGCTCTGTAGGTAGCGTATGAGCTTACGGCTAGTGTGAATCACAGAACTCAAGGACAAACAGATAAGAGGTCTCAGCTGACAGGTATAGCACGTGGACCCGCCAGAAGACCACACTTTTCTCGGGTCATTATCCCCGTAACCGTTCAACTTTGGACATAGGTGTTTTGGGTTATATCGGCATACTTTAACATAAGGAACACCCTCCCGAAGTTTGGCACATTCCTCCTGGGACACTCTGTATATTGACACATTTAGACTGCCTCTGTGGTCTAGTGGTCAGAGTTCCTGCCTACAGACCCAGAGGTCCTGGGTTCGATTCCCGGTGCTACCAGATTTTCTGGGAAGTAGTGAGTCTGGAATGGGGTCCACTCAGCCTCGTGAAGATAACTGCGGAGCTATTTCAAGGAAATAGTGGCTTTGGTCTAAAAAAACTGAGATTAACGGCCGTGAGGATCCATTGCGCTGACCACATGACACAATATATCCGCGAAAGTTGGCACTAACTTCGCCAACAAGTGGTGGTCACTCGGTCGGTATAGTTTGCTTGTGGACTACAGGCCATGGAGTTTGTTTTGTTTTGTATTGTATTGACACATTTAAATATAATAAAATATATGCTTCATACTTGCATGGGTGGGACAGATGTGGCTGACTCCATGAACATATCTTATCAGACTGAGGTTAGAGTTTTGAAATGGCTGCTCTAAGGTCATTTACTATGTACATCACAAAACTATTACTGCTGAGAATCTAGTCTTGCATAGGTAGGATGTTGCATAAGGAAGGAGGATGCTCAAAGCTTTCCTGCTGAGGTGAGGGAACTCCCCTCCAATGCTTATCCAAAAATGTATTTAAGACTTCCCCGGAAACTGAACTTTTAAAGTACTAGTACGAGATATGTTGTCAATATAGTTTTATTCTTCAAGAGAAAAGTAGTAATTTGGGGGTAAACCATCATTGAATGGATCTGAGATCCATTTGTATTTATCACTTAATACTTCTGGAAAACACTCAGAAAACCTGAACTGCAGATTAACCAAGTGATCTTTGATACAGTGATCAATTCCAGTGCTACGTGTTCCCACACTGATTTCTTCCACAAAATCCTTCAAACGAGAAAACTGTCCAAACCTTTTCCTTCTAGGTTTCTG